ATATATATATATATATATAAAACAAAATATAATAAAACGGTGCAAAAATTTTTATTTGAACGCTTAAGTTACTACTCGTCAAATATGTATATTTATGTGCAGTTTAAAAAAGCAGAAAAGTTGCTTCTGCTCGCATTTTATGCATTGATGCAATTGACGCTTTCAAAATCTGTTACAAAGTCTTATCTCTGTTATCCCTGTTATTTCAGTTACAATTGAATTTCCATATATATGTATAGAATAAATAAGAAAGTGTTGTGGCGGTCATGGCATAAAGAGCTGTGTGTTGCTTTCTGTGCCATAGATCCGGGTTCAAATCCATCCACAACATATACTATTTAATTGTATTTGATTATTATCTCTTGGGAGACAATAGCAAAGAGAGCGTCTTTGCTAAAAACAAGATAGGCTTTATGGGTGCAAATGTGCATTCTATCTACTATTGTTCATTAATATTTGCATTTGCCTTATCCTCACTATTTGTGCAACGATTATTAGAACAAATTTTTTTATATCTAATAATTTAATTTTTTATACTCTAGATTTACGAAGACGTTTGAAAAATATTTTAAACATCTTTAAATTGATAATTATTAAATCACACAAATTAATGATTCTTATATTAAATATATATATTGTTATATTTGATAAATATTCAATCGGCAGTCTCTAACTAAATGTAATTATTAAAATTGTGTCTTTTTAGCAGCGTATGTATAACAATAAATAAATATATACATATTTGCAATTTTTGTTTCTTATAGAAAAAGGAAGAAAGAAAAGGAGGTACCGATGAAGGGACAATGTGTGGTATGAGAGAGAGAGCTTTAAAGAGGCAAAAATTAACGCTCATGCTATCCAGAATGGACGCAACTGATGTTGAAGGAAGAAATGGCTCGGTAAAATATTCCGACCGGTGAATAAATCGCCGATGGCAAGGCCGCGGACTAACGGCCGCCAGTCTGGCGTCGATAATGCCAGTTGCAACGCGCGGGCGAGGATATGTTCGACATGTATCGCGAACGTAACCGCGAACTTCCCTATAAAACCGAGCAGAGTCATTCTCTCGGAAAATTAAAGCTATTTACGTATCCGATGAGAAAGCCGCAAGAAATACTGCAAATTATTAATACCAGATTGTTTATATAATTGTGATAAGAAATTTTCGTCATTATCAGAAACATATGTAATGTAAAATTATAAAGACATATGAAGTAGAAATGAATTACGATTTGATAAAAGTTTTCCATTCATTTTTTAACATTCTTTTTAATTGAAGTTAAGCGCAAAGATGAAAAATGTCATCTGTACTACGTATTTAGGTTAAAATTTAATTAATTTGATACAAAAATTGAATAAATTTCTCTCGATCGCTCTCGATATATATTGTAAATTGTAGAAATGTAGAATATGCATAACATTCGAAAGTGAAAGGAAAATAAAAAGGTTATCGTATTTGATCAACTTTTTCTAACGAGAAGAAAAAAAATGCTGGAAAAATATGCAGCATCGTATTGGTAGTATATATTTCATAAATTAATAATTTATATAAAATGTATATAGTTATGAAGTTTTATTTATCTCAGCATTCTCTCTTTAAAATCATAGCAGGTCGAAGAAATATGCAAATTTTGATTGGATGAATCGGAAATGCCGAGACAATGTCACAATCCAAAGTGCATTGGAAGTAAAAAGAGATTGACGTAAGAAATTATATATAAATTGCGCGAATAATAATGCAAGAAATTATAATTATGAAATTTAATTATGTAACAATGCATTCGAAATGTCTAATTTTATTTTTATCACATATATATTTTCTCTTTTTTTTCAAAGTAAAAGATAAATAAAAAAAACTTTTTTATCCTGCTTCATCAAACATGTATATGAATCTTTTCATTCTTGTCTCTTTTATGCTTCTTATTATTCTTAAAATAGGTTATATCTTGCCTTTACTTTTCTCAAATGTTCATTGCACTATTACTCGTAAAAATGTATATATGTGTGGTTATGAAAATGTGTGTGTATGATGCATAAATGCATGTGAATGTGTCCGTAGTAAGTTCGGACCCGTGGGTTCGTTAAACTCAAATGACTGTGCGGATCAGTCATCTCTGCGGGAGAAAATGTCTCTCATAAGCTGGTCACAAATCGCAGCATCTCGTGAGGATCCTAGTCACTTCGTAAAAAAGCCGACAGTTGCAATCGAATTCTTTAAGAAATGCCGCGTCACCGAACAGGATCTCCATGAAATGTCGCGTTTTACGATAAGGCTGTGGCGTATACACAGTTTAACTTTGCGCTGTGCACATACTTGGAAAGTATTTTCTTTACCGCTGATAGCAGCCGTAAATACAAGAACAAAGAGAAAGATCCGAGACCGCCATCAACGTCACGTCGAGATTCTTCAGACAATTCTACGTCGCGAAATAAAAGAGCACAGAAGTCGAAGTTAAAGCGTTCTAAGGACAATCCAAAAAATTTATCGTTTAACGAATCGAGAAATTACAAAAAGTATTAAATAGTTCACGCCTTATACTATTTCTTCTAAAATATTTTTTAGAAAATAATGAGTTATCTGTAATAAGATTCTATAATAAATTATATGAAATTTTAGCTAACTCATACATTCTGTATGACAAATATTTAATAGATAAATATTAGTACAAAAAATGTAGATCAGACCCTTTCAGCAGAATTTTATTTATAATATTTAAATCAAAATTAGAATTTTATTTATTTCATATAAATAAAATTAATTTTAATTATTTTTATTAATTTTATTTATATGAATTTTATTAATTAAAAATTCTCTCTCTTCTTTTAGCAAAAAACGCCAAGTTTCACAATCGACCTCTAAAAGTTCGACTTCGACATATTCATCACAGAAGTTACGGTGAGACGTAGGATGATAAATTCAATATTCAATAACGTTTCAAAGTCTTCCTTCTTTACGTGAAATAATTTCAACCTTGCTTTCCCCGCATTCCTGGGAATCCTTTCTTCCTATCAGCTTACTGACTCAACCAGATTCCTTTCTACACTAAAATAACAGCACGCGATATTAGAAGTTCAGTATCCTAGTATACTATGAACCGTTAGGCAATATTAATATTGAAGATAAAAAATGTAAGAATAACAAAATAAAATACGGGAATGTTTTTAAAAATATCAGGAAAAACGATCGTTTTAAACTTAGCGATTACATTTATTACCCATCCATTGTATATAAAGGAGTTAAAAGAATTGAACGCGATGTTGAATAAATCAAAGTAACGGTTTTATCGCATTTATCTGAATTGTGTGCAGCACGACGAACACATTCGGACGAGTTTCCGGCAATTCCCGGGATTGTAAAAAGCAAATATGTACCTGTCATAAAGGTGACAAAAAAATATGTTAAAAAAATTCTTTAGACTTGACGTGTCGGAAGATTCGCATTGTTCATCCGTGAATTTTTGGCAGAGCATCGCGGTGCTCAGAGCAGAAATTCGGACGAAAATTCGCGGAGCACAGATCCTGTGAAAAGGAACAAGAGGCGGAGGAAAAGATCGCGTCGCCGACATAAAAAGACTTCGAAAAGAGAAAGCAATCGACCGAGACGTGACTGTTTCGTGACGCTTTGCGCCTGTGTGCGAGGTTGCAGTTCGGATGAGCTAAGAGCTTGCAAATGCGAAATTCTTTCACATTGCGAGTGCTGTGCTGTTAAAGTTAATCGTTAATATATTAAAATTAATATAAAAATCGCATTACGTGTTAATTCCAAATTAATAATAGTTTTTAATTGTCTATTATGAAAAAACACTTTATCATATATTTTAAAATATTTTTGTTAATAAATACAAGAAATCGTTTTTAATTAGAAATAAAAAATTAAGATTAAAAAAGTAATTTTATTTTGTTGAAAAATATACTATCAAATAAGACGTTTGACGTGTATATAGTAAGAAAGAACATATAAATTAAACGTAAAAATATCAACAAAAATTGTGCTGCTGCGAATCATTGGCTGCGTTCAGCAGAAAAACAGCTTTGCAACTGTTGTAAAATTTTTGAATATGATTGGCTTATACATTTAGATCTAATGAGGAAGTAAAGGCAAGACCAATCATATTAAAGAATTTTGCAACAGTTGCAAAGCTGCTTTCTCTGCTGAACGCAGCCATTGACTTTTTATAGGGCAAACAAGAAGAGACGAAACGAGTAATATGTAAAAACTCATCAAAGAATGACACACAAGTGGGTAGATATACTGCAAACCCATCGACCAGCAAAAGGAAATCTGCACTCAAACATTCACGCGAATTATCGGCAGCAAAACCAAAGTTAGCACATTCGTATTTCTTATATAACGAGATAGCGTTTCATTAACAACTTCTGCTTGATTATCGACATTTGCAGTGAAGAACAGAGCGTAATTATTAGAGGATTAGACACTGTTCGCAGAGAAATTGACAGATTTAGTGCTTTCGTAATTAAATGGGTGACGAGACAACAGTAATTTAGTACATTGGATGGATTGGTATTTCATTTACAGTTAAACACGTTTGTATTTATATTTTTACGCTCTTATGCGATGTTGTATAAAATCATCTTTTATTTGTTTAACACATATATTCTACGAATCTATTACTTTTAATATTGAATATTATTAAGAAAATGTTTGAATATATTTTATATAAATTAAAAAAAAAAAAAATAACACATTTGAATTAAAAAGAATTATAAAATCAACGTTAGCATTATTTACCTCGTTCTTCCTCATATTATAATGTCATATCTTTATAAAACATTTAAAGGGAAAAAATTATATATGTATATTACCATTTTCTTCGTATTATTTAGTTTTTGTATTATTAGGACTGGTTGCAAGTTTTGATGTATTGAAAATATCAACTGATATTTAATATTTTAAAAAATCGAATACTGATTTTCTTTTGATAATTTATTCGGTAATATTATTAAAGAATTCACAAAAGAATTCACAAAGCAGTCCTTGTGGAATTACATTAAAATGTATTTAGAGGATACATTAAAATGTAAATTCGAGAAATTGTAACCTGAGCTGAATTGAGAATTGTAAATTGGGTAAATTGAGTGTATGTGTGTAATGTTTCGATATATTGTTTTAGGCTTGTTCTTTTTCTATACCTCGGAATTGAACTTCTTTCACTATTCATATTTTTTATTTTTTTTTCTCTAATACGAAAAGAAAAAGATGAACCATGTGAGAAATGTAATCCAGGGATATGGAAAAAGGATAGGCCTATTGTCGTCTGGTATACATTACATAAAAGTAACAATGTCTGTGTTTTATGTGATGAACTATCTTTCTATATAACAATTTTAAGACAAAGATGATATACAAAATTCGCCGCAACTGTTTCAACATAATCTATACACTATCTATTATAAGAGGTCCATTTATAAATATTCCACATACAATTGCCAGAGGCAGTGGTCATGAATGAGGTCAATTAATGTTATCATTTTGTTATATTGCCTAAAACACATATTCCTTCATACTCACTCGTAACGTTAGACTAATAATTATTATTATTAGAATGTCGCGTATATTCATACTACACACGCAAACGTATCGTGTTCCACTGAAATAAAATAAAAAAATATTTTGTGGATATATTCTACATGGGCACAATCTTTTTAAGAAGCGTCAAAAGCTTCAAACAATCTGCTTCGATGCGAAGTTCTGTGCAATTATCAGGCCGAGACGAAGGCTCGCTGAGAAAGTAACTTAAGCTATTATATTACGTACGCGAGAAATGAGTCTCAAAACACTGGAATGATCGGTCCCTTAAAGAAATCACCGATCGCTATTGTAGTCAGCACGTTATCGAGTCAAAGGAGGCAATACTCCTTTTGCGTATTATTACTCAAAATGTAGCGCGAAACTCGAATGAATTAGGCTAAACGTGTACAAGCGTTTGAGTTTGGCAAGTTGGCGAGTAAATGTCTTCTACCACGATTATTATTATCTCAATGTCCCATTTCGAAGAGACGTATATAACGAAGAAATGCGAATTTACCGCGTACTACGTCTACTAGTATTTCGTAACTGTTTTTCGATTTCAAATTGCCGTAGATCCGCTCTTTGTAGAAAATCTTGCCGTTCTAAATATCCGTCCTTGCCTTTATTATGAGTATTAAGCTCTTCCTCAATGTTTTCTTGTTTCTTGAAGTTGTCCCAATCTAATTTAGACTTTTCTAACGTACTAATTTTCGCCTTTTTTCCAATTTGTCCCAAAACCGAAGAGATGCCGCCTAAACCAACGCGCTTGATGTCACCTCGTCCGCGTTCTTTGACCGTGGGAGATGTGGATTCTGGTGCCTTCGCAGCAGAATTTTCGTCTGTGGAAAGAGATAATCGGGCCTCCGCTGAATCAATTGATACTTCCTTCTCGACCTTTACTTCTTCACCAGCAAATTCAAAAACTTTAGTTATCTTAACTTTTTCTTGAACCTTGGGCTTCTGAATCGGTGACGATTTTTCGTTCGATCTGTTGATTGAATTCTGTGGCTTTGATTTCGATATGACAGCTGTAAAAAATATATGAACGTATTATATATTTAAATCCTTTTTGATACATCATCATTCAGATAAAATAATATACTTCTATTGATTCTATTAATGTAAAAATCTGTTCTTTTTAACTGAACTTCTTGTATCATTCATATTTTGACGTTGAAGAAAAGAGAAAAACAGTGCAAAAAGTTTAGCGAAAAAGAACAAACCATAGACCATTTAGATATTAAGCCCAAAAATATCCTTAAAAGCATTTTTGGAAATTACATTATAGATATAACATAATTATTTTTAAATAAACAATTTCTTGCACTGTTTAATGTAATAAAATCCTCCTGTTATATTATGTCACTATATAATGTAATTATATGTAACGTTTTATTGTATAAATATATTTCATACGTACCTGTGTCTTTCATAAAATCAGCCCAAAGAGAATCTGCTCTCTTTTTTTCCTCTTCTTCAGTGAGCTCTTTTTTCTCTTTACATTCTTCTTCCTCTTTACTTTCTTCTTCTGATACTTTAGACTTTTCTAAAGTTCTTCTGCGCTTTGTTTTTTTATTCTTCCGACCCTTAGATCTCTTTGTACCTTTCTTCCCAGTTTCTCTTTTGTTTTCATCATTTTCATCCTCTGGACCACTTTCAATATCACCTTCAGATTCAACTTCAGACACTGGATCACTGTCAGCACCATCAGGAATATAATCTTCATCATCTTCATCCGAATCAGAAGGCAACTGATGTTCTTCTGTCATATTTAAATATATATATTATTACAGAAGATACCTGCAAATAGATGACAGAAGTATATATTTATCTAAAAATATGCTATGTATTTATTGCAGTTCAACATACATATTTTGATTATGAGAAAACAATTTTATAAATAATAATACATGGTCTAATATATAAGGTTCTTATATATTGTTTAATTTCATAAATAATATTTTTAAGCACAAAATTTATAAATATGTTTATTTCTTTTTTACAAATTAATATTATATATTATGTTTATATGCAATAAAATTAACTTTCATAAAATATAAATAAAATCTTTTCCATTAATTTTAGAATTATTTCATAATTCTAAAATTATATTCACAGAGTGTTAGATGCCATAAATGATTAATAATATTTAATTATTAATTAAATTTAAATAATTTACATTTTAGTCATTCTTAAATCACAATATTTTATGTAAAATAATGAAAATTATTATTAACTTTTTTATATATTGACTTTTCTTTGTTCAAACAAAGCTATCTTCGAGAACAAAGCGAACTCGGAGAAGCCTCGCTAATTAAAAATTCTACCAAATTACCGCGCTTCTTCCTCCACTGTCAACGTCAAGAAACTTAACCTCTTTAATCAAACGAAAGTAAATTTCCAAGGGAATTAAACACGGTACATAATGCAATTTCGTGACTCACGTTCTTTTGAACGGCGTGCCGTCAGTGCCAAAAATTCCGCGAGCGGACGTCGATTCGCCTTCCGGAAATGTCGTTATATCGAGATTGCAGCGGCGAATCCGGCGAACCCGTCGCCGCGTTCATGAATCGTCCTCGGTCCTTGGTGTGGACCTAAATCGATCCAACGTGTACACACACGGGTGTGGAGCACCGGCTGTCCAAAAAATCCGTGAGCAACACCAGGGGAAAAAGGGACCGCGGTACCTCGCGACACACTCAACTCGATTCGACTTGACTCCGATCAACTCCGTCGCAAATACGCACGTCGCGCTATTCGGCACAACTAGCACCATCTTACAGCGAACCGAGAAAATACGACGTGAAGTCAGCGCTGATCGCGCTGTTCGTACGAAGTGAACTTGTCGAATTTCTCCAAATCCAGATTAAAATTGAATTTTACATCGAAGATTTTTCATACATCTAGTAGAAAATAGAGATTTCTTGTTTATTTTTATATACAATATTTGTTAATCCTTTTTGATTAAATGGAAGAATCTTCCATTGATTTTTTGTGATTCTTCCCTGATCCTTCGATTTAATCAGAAAATTTCTAAAAATGTAATAAAAAAAAGGGTATGGCAGATGTCAAATATTAATAAATATTAATAAATATCAAAATAATTAATAAATATTAAAGTAATATTTGTGAATTCTTTTAAAAATATCTGTAACTCATAATGTATTAAGATATAAGATTTAAATTAGAACTCATATATCATATGTATGTGTATATATATTTTATATACATATATATATACATATAATACGTAACTTGTCAAATGTTTTTCGTATTATATAACATATAAAATTATAAACAGAATTCTTTTGAATTTTAATAATACAATATATAGATCACATAAGTTAAACTTAAAATAATTAATTTTATTTAACTAACATTTGCAAGTACATTTAATTATTTTTTAATTTTATTTAGATATATGTATATAATTTATATGCAAATTAAATTACGATAAATATAGAACATTTCTAAAATAAACAATAGTGATATAATTTAATATAAAAGTAACATTTACTTTGCTCTCACATTCATTGTGTCTCTAATTGAGGCTATTTTCCTTTTAAGAAACACAGTCACAAATGTTCTATGCTTGGCATTTAATGAATAACAGAGATAAAATAATATCTGTATTGATAGTTTCCTAATGGGAAAGCAACCTAAATCTTAATTGCATTTTAAACACAATTGTAACTATTAAGATTAACTCACTGTTCTAAACGATAAAAAAATGTAATAACATAGTGTGTTATAATAGATATCTATAATTCTTTAAATTTTCTTTAAAAAGGATCGATACTAAATCTTTTAAAGAATAGGTATGATACTAAATCTGTCTACAACTTTTTTTACTTAAACTAGGTGTTAAGTACACCACTTTCACGATTTATTACAAATCTTTTAAATGATTTCATGAGACATGTTAGAGAGAAAAAGGTCGGGAAGTGTCAAATTGCCAATGACATCTTTCATGAATTTGTTGAGTAATAACTTAACGCCTTCTTTAGTATTCTAAGTAGGATCAGCAGGGGGCCACCGCAAACCTCATATTACAGGATCCATTTCGAATCCTAATTTCGACGAAACGAATGACTGCCGGTTGACAGGGATTTGCGATGGATTATGAATCAGTCGACCCTTCCTTTCGAAGCGAAAGTCTGAATAAATGAAGACGGAAAGGAACGAGCGTATGTGTCCCCGGGAAATATAGCTGTATAGGGAAAAATTTGGAATCATATTGTGTTAGATATTAATAATATTACAGTGATTGACGCTCACTATTATAAATTACATTGCAATTTCCCAGAATACGCGAAAAGTTCTACTGTTAACATAATCTGATGCACCAACAATTATGCAACTAATGAGTTCGTGTAGATGATTAAATAATAATGATTTCAATTATATTTAAATCGAATGTTAAATACACTGTAAAAAATAAAATGTTAATTTTAACTCAAAGACGTTGAGTGGATTTTTTAAGACATGCAAAAATATTAAAATTAACATTTAATGTTAACAAAGTGTTAATGTTAACATTTTTGCATGTCTCAGAAAATCCACTCGACGTCTTTCAGTTAAAATTAACATTTTATTTTTTACAATGTATAGCCTCAGCTCAAGATAATATTGCCGAGAATTCACGAAAGAAATAAAGCGTAATTTAATATAATTTTTAATATAGAGAATCATATATTATAGTTATGAAAATATCTGTGAAGAGAAGCCACCCCCTCTCTTTCTCTCTCTCTCTCTCTCTCTCTCTCTATATATATTTTTGTTAAATTGACTAAGATTTATCTTAACGAACGAAGTGCTGTGATAAAATAAGAAATGAAAATCTTCAATATTATAACTACAGAATTCAATCAATAAATTGGAAATCGCCACCAATGTAAAAGTTAAAAATTCATGCGACAAAAAGTTTCAAAATTAGCGTTTGCATTTAATGCAGGATATTAATACAAGTCTTGGTTTCTTCTTCTTTATATTTTGAACAAGAGAGAGAGAGAGAGAGAGAGAGAGAGGTAAGGAAGAAAATCAGGAAGGATGTACCAGGTGGCTACAAATGCCGCGACGTTCCCGCGGATTGGATCGAGCAGTATCTCGGAAAACGAGATGAGGCGAATGAGACTCAGCGACTGATGTTCGAAAGCTCCGCCTGGTTTTCGGGACGTCCCAAATCTTTGCGTCCCACCAACGAACATATATTTTGCTTGTCTCATTCTATTCGTATTTGCGTTGCTCCACCCGGTCCAGCCTTCAGCTTCTGTGCTCTAAGAACATTGACTAACAATTAGTTACACGCCGTAGACGCGATCTGTTGCGTGGGCCCTGTCAATAGATTTGTGATCGTGAATAAAAAAAGAATAATCGATCATAGGTATCGAACAAGTTGCATATTAATTGTGTTGCAATTATTAGTTTAGAGGCATGTGACAATGACGAGGATATCAACGATCTAAAATTCTAAGTGTAGCAATTAAAAAAAAATAATTCGTATAGTACTCTTCATAATACACAAAGTGATATCACATAGTTTTTTCTTTAGTTTTTGAATCTCTCTCTATCATGATATAGTTGAGTTAAAATAATAATTATATTATAGACTTCGTTATTATAGATTTTGTTATTTGTGCTTCTATGTATGTAAAGTTCTGTGTTATTATAAGTAATATTGTTGTATGACAGTGATTAAAAAATAGAACACAGTTTTGTGCTTTTAAAAATTGAACCGTACATGTATAAAGTGCAGACTTAAACAATAATCACAATTATTATTACTAATTGTAAGATCATTGTTCTTAAATAATAATTGTTAAAAATAATTGTTTCTTGAAAGTAATTTGCGTTTGATTCCAAATTGACAATTAAATTAATGTTCTAAATAATTTTTTTCTTTAAATCTCGTATAATATTGAATATGAAATTTCGTTTTTGATGAATTCTTAAAAAGAAATCTTTCTTGTTGCGATATAAGTAATAACTACATGTCTCGCAAGTTGCCAAAGCATAATTATTTAATAATTAAATAACAATAGCTGTTATTGATACAATAGGATGCCTCGAAAACGGCGCGCTTCGACATCGTCGTTGGATGAATATCCTTCTGAGGAAAAATATATGAAGGACGACATGGACAGTCGCGCTCCCCGAAACGCTGCCAATGCTCGTGAACGAGCAAGGATGAGAATATTAAGCAAAGCGTTTTGCAGACTGAAAACAACTTTGCCATGGATACCAGCTGACAGCAAATTAAGCAAATTAGACACGTTACGATTGGCCGCAACATACATCGCTCATCTACGAGCAGTACTTCGAGATGATGGTGAAACTCATACTGAAACCACTAAATCCTTGTCGTTGGCTCTGGTGAGTGCCATTTATATCTTTATTAAAATTAGAATTAAAGTTTGAGCAAGTTTTCCTTCTTCTTTTTTAAAGTAATTAAACTTTAATTAACTTTAAGTAACACACACACAACACATACACACACATATTAGTTATAAATAGCAACAATTTTATGTATACTAATATTAAAAAATGTTATAGTATGTAAACAGACAAAATTGTTTATTAATTAGCAATTAACTCATTAATTAGAGAGTTGTTAGAAAAAATAGATTTAACGAGAAAAGTCACTTAAAAGTAAAAAATATCTAAAAGCGTCAAGTATCTTTTAAGAGCTTTTTCATAAAGAATCTTATTGTTATTCCTTGATATAAGTACATTCCACAAAATGTGAGATTAAACAAAATTGTTGATTTATCTAATTTTAACGGGAATTCAAAGTGTGAGTTATTTTCAAACTATTTCTCGTTCTTACGATCAGACTTTCGACTTGATAACGATTCCGTAAAATAACACAGAGACCAGGTGGATCCACTCGGAATCGCAAGCGCCGTCTTCGCAGTCATCTACTCTGTTTATGTCTGTCCAGGTGGATCGAATCACTCCAAAACCTTCCACCCACCCTTTACTACCATTAATTCTAAGTTAGTTTCGTTGTTTGAAGAAGCATACCGTTTTCCGCCGCGAAATAGTTGGTCTCTCATTGTCCTCCTTTCACGAAGATTAAAGAACATTATTCTATCTGTAAAATTGTTAAAAATGATATTTTTCTATGTAGATTCAAATAAAGTCGAGTTGACATTTAAAAAAATAAGATCTCGTGATAATATTTGTATAAATAAATGTCTAATTTAAAATATACTATCGATATGTATAATTAGCTTATAATTAATCGGTATTTCACGACGAGTAATTGTAATATAATACACGAAAAAGTCATCAATGCGCATCGCGATCTGGTTCTTAATCCAGGCATTTAAATATTCGATTCAATAATACGATAAGAACGCTTTTAATTACAGTCATGGCCATTCGCTATTCAAAGCAACAACACAGCCACGGTTATGAACAACAGTTGCAACGTATCTTCCTCGACGTCTTCGAGCTGTAATCAGTATCGAGGACAGCAAGTAACTCATGATATCCAAAACTTCCATCATTCAGGTCATCAGGGCGTGTCTACACGCCATAATCAGGAGCAACAGTTCTCTTATTACTAACAAAAAAATTCTGACAATTCGATCAGAACTTATAACTACTGCGAGCGATATCTACGAAGAGCGACTACCAGCTGGATTACACGACGGTGCTACCGTGTATTCACGCCTTATTTATTCCACAGTGCCTTATTCTAGTATTTATTGATTTTATCTTAATGTATAATTACGGTTGCATCCTCCACTTGTACGACAAGGAAATAATATATACTCATGTCTCGATCGTATGCGTTTTTTGCATATCGAAGAAACCTCTATTTTGCATATTTTTAAAAGTCTTATTAAATCAAAATTATAAGTAAAATAGACGAAAAATCATTTCTGTTTTGTTTTACAAAGAGTAGAATAAAAATCGAAAATTCAGTATAAAATTTCGATTTATTTTAGTTTAACACATCTTTTGCGAAGGAATACCGTACATTTATTTAGCGCTCCTCTATATTTATTTGTATCATCCTACAGTTAGCATATTAAAACTCCTGTAATAAAAATCTGTTACAGAAATCCAATTTTATATTGACTAATTTATAATATCCGAATAAGTGATTGATCATCACTACCTTCCAATATTAAATTTCTGTAAGGGTTTCTAAGATTACCAAAAACTTTTTTTATATTATTTAATGCAATATCTTCTGTGAAAACATATTATATATTCGTAAAGAGACTATTTCCTTGTTTCATACATTCATTACCACAATCATATTATATAATATTGTAATCGTGATTGATACCAAAGCATGTTGACTAGTCCAATAAAAATGTTTCTAAGATTTTCAAGAACTCTCTTTGTATTATACTTAGTATTTATAATAACATTATACTAATTTAGATTGTTAACAATATACAGAGTAGCAAAATTGTACCAGCAAGCTCTATTGTTGAAATTTACTCGCTCTGATTTCGAAAACAGGAGACTTTCATTTATATAAAAAAAAAACGTTTTAGTTCAAAAATATAATATCTTAAAAGAGCTTTTCAAAATTACAAATCGACGGTCTGTTTTAAAGATACAGCAAATTATAATGGCGATAGTTGGGCACCTGTTGATAGACAATCGTTATTAACGACTACATTAAAAAAAAAAACAGCGTTGTAACTGCTATAAAATTCTTTAGAATATGATTAATTTATACTTTAAAATCTAGTAAAAGACTAAGGGCAATTATATTAAAAATTTTAACAGTTGCAAAGCTGCTTTTTCTGTTGAGCGCAGCTAATGATTTATTGCTTGCAAAATAACGATCGATAAGAAAAAAGAGTAACGCATAGATAAATAATATCTTTAAATACCCCTAAAATATATAAATACAGTCTTTTTATATTTTATAATTATATTAACCGCAGAAAGTGTGTGTGTGTGTGTGTGTGTATCTTAATGCAATATACTTATATATTTAAATAATTAAAATTAGTTATTGAAAAAGAAGATTCGCCACACATAGAATAACCTTTAGTATTTTTTTCAATTAAAAATATTTTTATAATTCCATTTTAATTATTATATAATATATTTTATGTCGTTCGTGATTTTATACAAAAATAAGATCGACGTCTCTTATTGGAGAAATACTGAGTGGCATCCGGAACAGCAGAGAGGAAGTCCGCGGTAAGGTAAGAAGGATAAAGAAGTCAAGTAAAATAAACAGCGCAAAGGGCCTTTTGTGTAAACCTAATACTAAAATAATATATCCCACACGGCGACAAATCGACCGACACTAAACGTATCGCTTGACGTCTTTACAACAACATACATGAGCTTCGAAAATTTATAAACGAAAAATGATGGTCTCTATTCACCGCTTTTCTGACTATCCTTAAAAATTTCCATCGCCCTATTTTTGACCGCCATATGTCCGAAACATACAGATATCGTTGCTTGTATAATGATAAAAGCAATCGAGAAAGATCAGCTCAGAATAAACTAAATTGTTACAATAAAATTGTTTAAGTTTATCATCAAAAATTTCAATTAAGAAAAGGAGTTTGAGCTTATAAAAACATATAGCATTCAAGAGGAATAAAAATTGCTTAATCAATATAGATAAAAAAATTAATTTCGTTAGGATAGAAACGATACTTTATCTTGGTAATAAAAATAATTCTTGTTTTACGGTTTTTATAAATTTATGATTTTTTTTTAGATAAAAATAGATAAATCGATATTTATCTCTTTCAAATTGCAAATTAAAAAAAAAACAAGATTTTAGAAGCGCACAGTATTTATCAAGAAAAATAAAAATTGTTTAATCAACATAACTACAAAATATATCTCATTAAGATTAAAAAATATTTTCTTTTAATAATATAAATAATTCACGTATTTATATTCATTTTTGTTTCTTTTCTAGATAAATTGACTTTAATCTCCTTACAGTTCTACATAGCTTACCTATTTTTCTGTATGCATTTATTTTTGCGAATAAATCGAATTTTTCTCCTCATTGTATGTATAAAAGTTGATGTTTGTGCTAGATATTTTATTTCGATATATTTTTGAAAAAATATGTTCTTCCGCAAAAATATGTAGAAGCTTATGTAGATGCATTTTTTGCAAAATTTAATTGCAAAAAATGCAAGACATTCGCGTTATTAAAATCCAAAGTTATTTTCACCTGAGATTATGTGATCTTTAATAAAATCATTAATTAAATCCTTAACGATTATTATATATTTTATAGATCGATTTTAAATCTATCTATTATGGGGAAATTAATTTTTCTAAAGGAGACAATTTTAAATCGATCTGTCTGTATCAAAATCGCTATTCTTTTTAAACAAAGAGGACCTACTTCGTAACCCTACACGCAAAGATAGAAAATCTATCGCTAAAGAGGTCAGGATGAATGGGATATCGCGAAAGTCACCTGGCACAAAGAATCTTATTTGTCAAAATGATCTCAGAGTAAGTGTCTCGGAAGATGAGAGTCGACGAGTCGAGAGGCGGCGAGATTTCCGGGAAGCGAAGACGTTTCGCGCCTTTCGCAACTGCGCACGTGTGACGCCGATCTCACCGCGAGGTCCGCGAGGCGTCCGCGCAGCAGTTTTCGCGACGCACACCAACGCACACATCCGGTGTGCGACTTATCGTAGATTGGATTAGTACCGAGAGAGTACAAACGGAGCAGAGCGGAGCGGAGCGGAGTGGGAGGTCCAGTCGAGTCTGTCCAGTGCCAGACTGTCCGCCCTGACGACGCAAGACGTCAAAATCGATCCACGTTGTGTCGTTTCATACATGGTATACGTCGCGTGATTTCATGATGTAGCACCAGGCGAGTGATCCCGGACAGTAGGCAGAAAGATCGTCGCAGCTGACTCGGTAATCCGAACGTCTAATCGAAATCTAATCAAACGTTGTGTTGTGCGACGATCGTTCTCCTTTGCAAATTAACGAAAGAGAGAGAGAGAGAGAGAGAGAGTGTTCTTCGTCTCATCCTAGACAATCCCAGGCCAACCATCCCCGTTGATTCCCTGTCCTCGACGTGGTCGCGCGCGTGCACGCGGAGCGGACGTAGAGAGCGGACGGAGTGCGTGGAGCCCTCGCGAGGCCAGGTGTTGAAGCGTGAATCAACGGCGCCGCGTCAAGATGGCGTGTGCCACGATCACAGCTGTTGTTTACCCACAAACCCGTGTGGAGCGGGCCACTGGCTGCTGCTGCTGCCGCGGCTGCTGCTGAGAGAGGACAAGCGCGGCCTGGGCTCCCCGTCGTCGGGACTGGTCGGGGACGATGGAAGATTGTCGACGAATGAACAGGTCGGAATAATTCGTGCGTGAGCGACGACGTGACGGCGACGTGACAAGAACGTGACAGCGACGACGTTGACGACAAAAACGACGACGGTGGCGGTGGTGGTGGTGGCGGCGGTGGAGGCGGCGACGACGGTGGAGTTGGTGGCAGTGCTGGTCGTGCTGGTGGCAGCGGCGACGGCGGTCGTGCTGGTGATCGTAGTGGTTGTATTGTTGTTGCTGGTGGTGGTGGTGCGTCGAGAAAAGAACGGGACGCGCAAAGACGGACTCGATGGAAGAGGGTAGCGGTACGGCGGAAGTCAACAAGTCGACGCGTGAAACTTAACCTAATTTCGTCCGTCATCGCACGGCACGAGGACGGCGACGAGGACGACGACGGTGAGGCGGAGCGAGAAGGTGGCCTCGATACCAAGGGAGAAGAGCGACGAAGTTAGTTCGCGCCTTCGGCGATAAGTGCGTTATTCTCCTAGTATAGAGCACGATTTCTTCTCCTCTCGCCCGTCCTTTCGTCCTGAGGCCTCGTTACGTAAAAAGTGCGAACGTCAACAGCGCAACGCACAACCGGTCGCAAAATCGACGTCGTAGTGTTGATCCCTACTTTTCCTTTGTACCCCCAGCTAATTTTGGAGCTTCATTCATCGCTCACATACACACTTCTGTTTGTTAGATTCTCAATGGAGAATTTGAGGTTAGGCTTACTGGCTTGCATGACAGATCGGCCTGCGATTCATCAAAATTGCTGTGTTTTTTTAAATTATGATGACTTGACAGACATGTGTCTCGGTTCTTTGTCGAAAGAGATAACCTTTTAGTGTTTATTTTCGTTTGTATCCCTTTGTTACGATAAGAATACTATGAGTCATTTCTTTTTATCTCCTTATCTGTGTGAAATAGAAATTTAAAAGAAGCACAGGTGCCACACACAGAATCTTCGTGCAAAGTCTTGTATTTAAAATATTTATATTAATAATGCTGGCTTCTGTGCTCCTTTTATTTATTGTTTTTACTTTTGTATAATTATTCTTGAGATTATTCTATTGACTGTGTAACAAAATATTTGACATTGTCGGAGATTGTTGGCATAATAATTGTTCCACAGGTATCACCATGAATGCCAGGACGCAGCTATTCGAATTAAGCATGGAGGGACGTCAGGTGGACGAGGCAGTGGCAAGTATATTCCACAGTGTGCTGTTCCATCGGAGCCTTGGCAAATTCAAGTACAAACAGGAAGGTAGCTATTCAGTGGGCACTGTGGGATACCAAGACGTGGACTGCGACTTCATTGATTTCACTTACGTCTGCTGCTCGTCGGTGCACCTTGATCAGACGCTGAAGCGTGAGATATCGGGTTTCTCGGAGGCGCTGCGCTCTACCGACAGTCCAGGTTCCGGTCAAATATCCCTAGAATTCTTCCAGAGGAAAAAGAGTCGCTGGCCGTTTCAACCGGAATGTATACCATGGGAAGTATGGACTGTTCGTCTTGAACTTATCAAATTGGCCACCGAGCACGAACGACAGATATGTCGAGAAAAGGTGGGCGATCTACTGACCGACAAGATCCTTTACATCACCGAGGTCATGAATCGGCACGATTACATTCCGAAAGTGCCAAGTCAGGCCGAGCTGGATCTGATCTTCGATACCTCGTACCCGGACATACAACCGTATCTCTTCAAATTGTCTTTCACGACTTCTAGTCCGTCGACCACCACGATGGGCAACACCATGAAGAAATTGATTAGAGAGACGCTATCCATTTAGTCGTTATAACGTATAGTGTAAACTCTTCACGTTAGTTGCATTCGTTTAGCTTTGTCAGAGTCATCAAAATGTAAATCTTATGTTTTCATTTTTCATTTATAATGCACAAATTTCTGCATTGCACCAAGCGATTTTTCGTGTCCACAATGACTCTAACCTGCCACCGTAGCTGTTACTATGAGTTCCAAGAAAAATACTAAATTTACGTTATAAAGAAAGCAGAGTGGTCCCGAGTCTTCGACCACTCGTTCCCGGCGGAAATTACCAAAAGTACTCGGGGAGGGGAGTACTTTGCCTACGTGGTAGACTCCGCCAGATTTTGTAAGCTCCATAATAATAGTATCTCTTATAATGAAAATAATATTTCGTATACATTGCAGGCACTTCCGCTGCTCTGTGTCTCTAATGTCTCTATATAGTACAAATGAAACACAATACTGTGACACTTGGCTTCTTTTGTACTTTACTATGAACGTCCGTCACATAATTTTAGCAGGATCACATTTAGTCACGTTTTATACAATATAATATTTTACCTCCTAACTCTCACCATTTAAATCTCCACAGATGACCGCTGTGGCAGAACGACATTATGTTCCTCTTCTCGCTTCTCATCCTTTTCAAATGCTGTGTATATCGTAGAATAGACTCAATCGTAATTTCCTTTAATAGACAAAGAATTTTCATGCGTCACACAGAGAAGATAATTTGATATAGAGTAAGAATACAGAGATTTCGAGTCTATAGAAGAGCAGGATGTCTTCAGATTCTTTAATGTCTAGTAGAGTCTTTGAGAATACTGAATCTTAAAGCTACTTGTAACTACTTGCTCCTTGATAAACTCCTCCGACTACACGACGGCTGTATTTGGCGCTACTATACACTCTGTTTTTCAGTCACTAACATTGAAAGTATATATAGCTATCCTAAACTCTCTGATGATCACAGAACGCTTGGAATATTCCGCAAATATATAACGTGTAGCATATACACGGAGTGTATACACGTGTGTTTGCATACAAAGCTGCTACTAGTTTCATTGTGACTTTGACGCTGAATATCCGATCGTGTCCAATATTGGATTTAGTATTAGGAAATTGCGTAACGACCGGGTCAGGATTAGCGTTAAATGTGCGGAAGAGCAGAGTGTTTATTGTAATTATGTGTATGCATGGAAGTGATTGTTATTTATTTCACGAGTGATGATACGTGGACGTAACGCTAGGCGTTATGTGTATGCAGATTAGCAAATACAATTATTTACATATTGCTCTTTTTTCTTCGTTGATCTTAAGTTATAATAATCAAACTGTAAAATAAGTTGATAATCATTAAGCCAACACGACGCCCGCAATAACGAAGCGCACCGGGTGATACAAAAGAACCGTACGAAAAAAAAATCGTCGTCACGATTACATTTTCCCAGACGTTTCGTGCCTTCGTACCGAATTTTTTATAGAGAAATTAATGTGCTAGGGACTAACATATACCAGATGATAGTGTCACTATTATTTATTGAGCTCGAAGTATCTCCTCTCATCTCGTAAAAAAAAAAAAAACTGGAATAGTCTCTCTCTCGCGCGCGCAGAAAACAAATCTGTGATCCTTCTCGAATTCGAGACGGTTTTGTTCTATTCCTCATAAGCGACAAATGTGTGCCGTTAACGTCGTGTCGTTTTAGGATTTTCAAGCAAGATGAAAGGCGCAACGGCGAATGTTCGGAATGGCTCGCGGTCGGCGGTGACCCACGCGCGATTATACTTATTATATTATACAATGTAAATAGCATCTGAAGAATATTGCCGTAAATCAAATCGTGTCGTGCCGAAAGGGTCCCCGCGCGTTCCGAGATCCGCTTCATCGCCTTACCCTATGACCAATCAATAAAGATATCACGACGCATTAGTAGTGCACATACTTTACGAATTAACCGTAGACGAGAAGCGTAATGTTAATTTAAGGATTAATCATGTATCGTCCCTACTGCTTTTCTTTTTCTGCCAACGTTCTCCATGTAGTTTAATATGCAATTGCGATTTAGCTGAATGTTCCGCGACTCGAGCGTACGTCGATTGGATGTATCCTATTAGGAGTGTCTTTTTTTTTCTCTTGTATCAATTAAAGAAAGGAAATCACGGTGGTCGTCGACAGTCTGTCGCTCTCTCTGCGATTCCGTGTAGAAAATCGACCGCAATCTCTTTCCCTCGCATTACCTGACTTTTACTTTTTACAATTATATGATGCACGATATATTGTAAAAGGTAAAAAGGAGTCGCGATATGGAGCCGCGATATGATATTATGACAAAGAAAGATGCGTATACATGCGCATATATATATATATAAATATGATATATAGAAAGAACGAAAAAAGAGAGAGGGAGAGGAAGAAGAAGCGAAAGAGCGAACGAATGGCCACGTATGCATGTGTAATTAGAGTTCTGCGAGTTTGTCAAATTGCCACACGCTGTTATAAATAAATGAAATTATAAATATATAAATAATATATATATATATATATGAATAGCAAAATAGATAAAACCGAGACCTGTATATTATAAGCTGCGAGACAAATGTGACAAAACGTGTAGTGTATAGTGAAAAAGATGAAATATCTGCAAGTTTTAATTTATCATGATGAGTACGCTAAATGATGACGATAAATGATTAATTATTAATAAATTACTGTATTTTATAATCGCACTATTTTTTTTTATGAAAACATCCATGTCTTCCATTTCCCACGAAACCTTTGATTCATTTCTATCACACAATAAAATATATAATGTAATTTCATATCTATAGTAATCCGAAAACGTAAAAAAATTCTTCGTGTGTTTTTGTAAATTGTAAATAAATGCCAATAATTTTTTGACGCATATTGATTAAGAACATCCCTTATAGAAATTTAATATTAGAAAGTAATGATTAATGATTCATTTTGAATATTAGAAATGTTATTGTTCGATGCTTTTAATACTCAAGATAAGTAATTTTCAGTATTAAATTGAATTTCTCTGAAGAGATCTAGTGGGCATTATGTCACTATATTTATTGTTATATTAAAAAAATATAACAAAAAGTAATAAAACAATAATTTCATAAAATAAGCATAATCCCACACACTGGTTCTTATTCGTGATAAATTATTATAACGTATAATTTATTCATATTAAGAATGACATAAAATTCATATAAACGTTTCGGTGAAAAAAGTAATTAAAATATATCATATACTAATATATTTCTTTCATAATTATATTTAGGAAAGATAGAAATGCCAATAAAAGAGCCAACATTAAGTAGTGTAGGCGTACACCTAAAGTATTCATTAATTTAAAGAAAGAAAATATGTATTTTGTTATCGACGTTTTACTTGCAATATTAATTTAATAATTCTAAAAATATCGCAGCGTTATCTCTTTACGAGAAAAATAAAAAAGGTCATGCATCATTGATTCCGTTAAAAAAAATACATCTCATTATCTCAAATTTAATTACCGACGCAAAGTTCAAGTAGTTGAATAATATATGATAAAGCGCGCGGCTTTATCGTTCCGCCGCGTGCTGCATTCTAACGGATGATCAGTAAATTTCCAGCCAGCGCTCGCTCGGCATTGCAACGTAATGTAAATGCCGTGAATTCCCGATTGTCAATCCGATGGTGGTGTATACGAAATACGAGTACTATACGACTCTCATCGACTTTTTATTTCCAATCGACGTCGTGGACGTGAAACCCCGTATTTCTCTGTCCCTTAAAACGAATGTGAAATAGTCGACATATCTTGCGATAGGAATATGCGCATCCAAATGAGCATATCCGAGTCAAAGAATTTTTTCCCCCAATAAGATGCAAACTGGCAATATCTCTTCTCCCCAGCAAATTTGCCGCGCTCTTTGTCCTCTCCTCGCCCCGAAACTGAATTCATACCGGGTGGACCTCCGCGCGAAGAATATATATTCATTTCGACTTTATTAGATTCTAAGAGAATACTCATGGACTTGCGAGAATCTCAAGTATTTTTGGCCGCGCGCCGCCTTGACATAGCTCTCGATTACACGTGGCACGAAATGGACCGTGGTAAATCACAAAAACAAAGTGATTCTACGCTGAATGAATATTTTATTTCTGGCTTACCTGGGCCGCAATTTACTGGAACTAACGAGATTGCTTTTCATTTAGGCCTGCTTCCACTAATGTAAGATTTAATTTTAATCTCGGTTCAACTCGTTCGAGTTCAACTCATTCTTTATCTTTTTCTAATTTCAAAAGTTAGAACTTATGCTCACACATTTCTGTCAACGTAGATTAAGTTCTTTCCAAATTAATTCGCTAACGATCGACTTTTTGCAAAAAGATCGCTTCAAAATAGTTAAAAAAACTCGTAAAAAAAATTATAACAGTTTATAAAATAGTTAGAAAAATTTTTCGTAAAACAGATTGGAAATTTATAATTACTATTATCGTTTGGAAAGGTCGATCGGAACATTCTTAGTACAACTTGTTTTTCATTCTCTTTTTAATTCTTAAAAAAAAAAAGAAGGGTTAAACCGAGATTAAAATTAAACTACACATGGTTATAGAAACAGGCAAGTGACGTCAGTAGACAGAAGTTCTGTCTTTATTATAGCTTTTAATGAGTAGCAAAGCAAAACGAAATTTGTATTGATTTTCTTGTGTCACTAAATGGAAAATAGCGAAACAATAACGGGAAATATATGGAGAAAGAGATTTTAAGCTTCTACACGTTACTGCAGTTCGTTTGAATTAATAGCTGTTAATGAAGCTGCATTTTATAGTTTTTGCTTCCATCTCGGTTCTCCATTCCAAGTGAAGCAAAAAAAATTAAATTTATTTATATTTATTATTGTTATACATAATAATAATAATAATAATAAATGTAAAAGCGAGTAATTTTACGAAAATTCTTGTAAGACTGTTTCTGTTCCTTTTAAATGCTTAGCCTTTTCTTAGAACTAGACTATTGAGATACAATTCTAAAATTCACTGTAATTTATTAACAAATCGTTATAAAAAAACAGAAGAAAATCCTCTTTATTCGTGGAAAACGAAATGATAAATGTACTATTTTAATAAAGAAAATGTATTCCAAGTAAAGTCATTTTTATGAATATATACTTCACAAATTTAACGTTTCATTTGAGTAAAATTATCAATAATTTTAAAGTTCTTTTTAAAGATAATGTTTTTCCACGATTACAATATTTTCAGGGTAATAATTTTAAAATATAATTCTTTCCGTGTAAGACTGTTTCTGTTCCTTTTAAATGCTTAACCTTTTCTAGAACTATAGATTATTGAGATACAATTCTAAAATTCACTTTAATTTATTAATAAATCGTTGTAGAAAAACAGAAGAATAATCCTCTTTATTCGTGGAAAACAAAATAATAAATGCACTAATTTTAATAAAGAAAATGTATTCCAAGTAAAGTCATTTTTATGAATATATACTTCACAAATTTAACGTTTCATTTGAGTAAAATTATCAATAATTTTAAAGTTCTTTTTAAAGATAATGTTTTTCCACAATTACAATATTTTCAGGGTAATAATTTTAAAATATAATTCTTTCCGTGTAAGACTGTTTCTGTTCCTTTTAAATGCTTAACCTTTTCTAGAACTATAGATTATTGAGATACAATTCTAAAATTCACTTTAATTTATTAATAAATCGTTGTAGAAAAACAGAAGAATAATCCTCTTTATTCGTGGAAAACAAAATAATAAATGCACTAATTTTAATAAAGAAAATGTATTCCAAGTAAAGTCATTTTTATGAATATATACTTCACAAGTTTAACGATTTTAGGATGTCCCTTGAAGGTTTCGATGCGTGGGTAAATATCAACATGATCAAATACTCCATTATAAATATATCTTCGTGTCTACAGAGAGGTGTAACACAAGCGATCATACGCCTGCGCGCGAAGCCGCCCCCGGTCTCCCTCAAGCTTAAAACCGATTTTCTCGGGTTCTCAGTCGCGGACGGGGAAGCAGCGCGCGTACGCAGTCGGGGTACGCAGCGGGTACGACGCTGGTGATCGCGTTAGTATTCGAACGTCGAGCGAGCACGACAGATCATCGTCTCGGGGTCATGGTCCCAGCATCCTCGACGAATCGCGAGAATCATCGAACAGTTGGACCACGCGTTGAATATCCCGCCAGGGAGATCGAGCATAATAAAGACTTTTCTCAAATAAATGCACAACGCGATTTTCCGTGTTCCGTTAACAAAAAGAGAAAATAATATAAATTGATCGTTAATGAAAACGGAGAATTCGAAAAGCGAAGTGCTTTCCTCGGATAGTCTTATAGTTTAGATATCGCTAATGAAATCGGAAAAATCAGGGACGAAGTGCACTTTTCTCAGATAGTCTAGTTTAGATTTTGGACGATCCTCGAACGTACTCGCGTGTAATAGACATTCTACCGCGAAGGACCCACACTTTAACCCAGAGATCTTCCTGGGTACGTTCTTAAAACGTCCTTCAGAACACGTCCCTTCGAGGTCTGCGCTACACGGAGAAGAACGACGAACGTGTTGTGAATACAGAACTGCGATAAATTACAAGAGAGGATCAACCCGCGTAGATAGTCTCAGTGCGCGTTTGTGAGTGTGTATGTGAGATTGGTTTTCATATTTTTTCTGGGCGCGTGTGTCCGTTTCTTCGCTTCGCGGGTCCCCCGAGGATGCGCGAGCCCCAGTCTAAGTAATACCGGCCTAAATCTCTCTACGTAATCGTGTTTGCGCAAGAAATCCGCGCGACATCGCGATATAGATCCTAAGAACATTATTTTGTCTTAACTCGACGAACCTTGGTGCATCATCGTCCCTCATCGTGTGAGAGAAGAAACCGCCGCGATTTTCCGACTCCGTGGACTCTTCAACAGGTGGTCGAAATCGATGTCGCACGTATAACAAGGCGTACGTGATTTTTCACGGTAAATCACTTTTCATGACACCCTCTTCTTTCTACTTTCTTTATTTACCGGTTTTTTTGTTTAATCCTCTTGAAACCTCTAAGCTGTAGATGTAAAAGTGGAAAGTAAAGTTGGGGGAGGAGAAAAGAGAGTTTTGAACAGATTTGTCCAAATGCTTTCGGAGCTCTTTTTTTCTTGTATAACTCTTTTGGAATATTCTTCTTTTTCACGATAAGTAGTTATTAGCAAGAATATTGAAAATAATAAATTATTATTTTATCGTTACGTTAAATTTTACATTATTAGGTATATATACATAAAAGAAAAGTGAAAGTTTTTGTCGTTACATATATAAACTTGTCATCTAAAATTATTTATTTTACGATTTACTATAAGTATGTCTATTTAACTCTGTTTATAGTTTAAAAAATGATTCTTCGTTCTTATTTATTGAAACATATGATACAATAAAATGTAGCAATTATCATATCCTGTAATAATTTCTCGATGCTCTCCCGGTTAGAGAGAGAGAGAGAGTCGGTGTCCATCAACGAAGTAGCACGTAACGTGATTCCATTAATCTTCGATTAATACGCATCGCGTATCTAACAAGTGGAAAACTGTTTTCGCTCAGTGTAATTTACGACCTCTCAGCCGCGCGTAGAAGTAAATCCGCTCACTCACTACAGCAGCCGTTAAAAGAATATCAGTAAAATCGTTCTTTGACAATTATTTATTATTCAACATCCAAGAAGGAAACAAAGAGAAAGAAAGAAGAAAACGCGGAGCTGTGTCATCAGAATACACGCGTCTCTATTTCCGATTCTCTCTCGACAAGATCATTTTTCAAATAGAATTCACATTGAAACAGAAAGTAGTGAATGTCGTAAATAAATGACAATGAATTTAGAGGTAACACCAAATTGCTTGGTTCATTAATTCACAAGGTGGCAACGAGTAAATGTTTAATTAAAGAGCAAGGCAGACAAGCGGAAATACTACTGAAAAGGGTCGTTGTAATATATTTCACTCCTAAATTACTCTTACTCCTAAATTGTAGTATAAGTTACGCTGTTTTTCGACAATTCACAACGAAGAAATACTCAAGAGTTATTTGTATTAAAAATTTCTTCGATTATTTAGAGATATAGTAGTATGTGAATATCATATGCTTGTCGATATATTAATAGAAACGTCGATTGCACATCAATTCGTTGGACGTTCGCGTTATATTTGAAGCGAATGGTGGCGACAGTCAAGCAATTAACATGTTTCGCGACGAAACTTTTGAACTCTCTACGAAACGACGGTCGTTCCTCTCGCTAAAACAAGACATAGGAGAGCACTGATTATGACGTGGTCGGCGTGGGCGAAACCGTCAGCAAAGTTTGGTAGTGTCGTCGTCGCCGTCGAACAAGCATTTCCGAAAGTTTCGAGTGGTCGACAATACCGGCCACGTCGCGCGTCACGAATCTTCAAAGTGAGGAGAGAGAAGAGAGAGAAGCTATTTAAAAAGCTTGACAGGAACGCGTCAGCATCTCTCAAGATTGTTTTGCCATTAAGAATCGGAAATAGAGACGCGTGTATTCTGATGACACAGCTCCGCTGTCTTTTCTTCTTTCTTTCTCTTTGTTTCCTTCTTGGATGTTGAATAATAAATAATTGTCAAAGAACGATTTTACTGATATTCTTTTAACGGCTGCTGTAGTGAGTGAGCGGATTTACTTCTACGCGCGGCTGAGAGGTCGTAAATTACACTGAGCGAAAACAGTTTTCCACTTGTTAGATACGCGATGCGTATTAATCGAAGATTAATGGAATCGCGTTACGTGCTACATCATTGATGGACACCGATTTTAGCAGCTAGGTAGATATTTTAATGAATTTCATGTAAAACTCTCTCTCTCTCTCTCTCTCTAACCGGGAGAGCATCGAGAAATTATTACAGGATATGATAATTGCTACATTTTATTGTATCATATGTTTCAATAAATAAGAACGAAGAATCATTTTTTAAACTATAAACAGAGTTAAATACACATACTTATAGTAAATCGTAAAATAAATAATTTTAGATGACAAGTTTATATATGTAACAACAAAAACTTTTACTTTTCTTTTATGTTTATAATAATGTAAAATTTAATGGGCGAGGAGCTCCATGAGAAATTACTTCTCCTGATCGACGAAATCTTTTTTCAGATTCTTTTCCGGACTTATCCCACCTCGACCTATTATATCTCCAAGATACGTCGTGAATAACGCAAATAACATCGGCATCGTCGATAATACTGTCATCATGGAGAACTTGTCAGAGGACAACTATAATTACGTGCCGGAGGACATAACGTCGAAGTTGATGGTGCAAATAATGTTTTGTTTATTCTACATCATTATCTTCGTGCTGGGTATATTCGGTAATGCGCTGGTGGTCTTTGTCGTCTCTCGGAACCGTCAGATGCACACCGTCACCAATCTCTTCATCACGAATCTCGCACTCAGCGATGTGCTGCTATGCATACTGGCCGTGCCCTTCACCCCCTTGTACACCTTTCTGGGCGGTTGGGTGTTCGGTAAGACCCTCTGCCACCTGGTACCTTACGCACAAAGCGTTAGTGTATATGTAAGCACGCTGACGCTAACGAGTATAGCTGCTGATAGATACCATGTGATTCTTTATCCTTTTCATCCGAGAATGAAAGTGACAACATGTTTAGCGATCATCCTGGCTATATGGATGATCGCGTTATTATTGACCTTGCCGTATGGACTGTACGTACACCTAGTAGAGGAGACGTATGTCTCCTTCTGCGAGGAAAATTGGCCAAGCGAACAATTTCGCAAGATTTTCAGCTGTCTCACGTCAATACTACAGTTTGCAGTACCATTTATGGCAATTACCTTCTGCTACATATGTGTTTCGATAAAGTTGAACGAGCAAGCCCGTGCTAAACCGGGTACTAAGTCTGGAAAACGCGAAGAAAACGATCGTGAAAGAAAACGACGGACCAATCGAATGCTCATCGCCATGGTTGCCGTATTCGGTATATCCTGGCTGCCGCTCAATTTTGTCAACATCGTCGATGATTTTTACTCGTACGCCAGCGACTGGTCCTACTACAGATTCAGCTTTTTCATGGCGCACTGCATCGCCATGAGCAGCACCTGCTACAATCCGTTCCTCTACGCCTGGCTCAACGACAACTTCCGCAAGGAATTCAAGCAGGTGCGTATATGCAATGAGTTTGTCGCTATAACTGTTATTTCCCTGAATATCATATTACAAGGATCAAAAGGTATGAATAGATTTTAAATAATAATCGAGTATCAAATTAGATTTTTTCTTTCATGTGAAAAATGATGAAAGACGCTTTGAGCATCTCTTATAAATAAAAAAGAAAAACCCACCTCAAACTTTTAAATAAAAAAAAAAATCATGACTTGACACTATTTATTCATGTCCATTATTGAATCTCGTATCATGAGGGCCAACGCTAAACTAGATTTTGCGAAGCTTATATCGGAAAAATCTCTGTCCATTTCGCTTTCCATTCATCTGCGAGATACACGAGCAAGCAGATCATTTTTAATGCAGTCGGAAAGCAGATATATATGTAATACTTCTATATAGGGTAAATCATAAACATCTTAAAATTTTATGAGCGTGTTCGTGCAAAGGAAAAGCAAATATATCCAATACACGTTAGATTATAAATTATTCGTTATCGAAATAATAGACAGTTTAAAGTCAAATAATGACTTCATTTAAAAGTTTCACGTGGATACTTTTGTTGTTTACAAAAGATGCTTAAGTGTCCTCCATCATTTTCTACACACGAAAGAAGTAATCTTTTTGTGAGATTTGATTCAATAATTATATCAAATCTATTCGTGTTGATTATTTTAATAATGAAGCATTTGTGATGTTTATAGAAACATTTGTTCTTTCTTTTATCGAGAAATACGCAAAATTTTTAAACATATGTATTTATAACTCACCCTGTATGCTTAAATAAAATCCACCATCACAAAATCGTACAGCTACAGAAATATACGTTAAAAATTGTATCTCCCGACTTTTCGAAGTAAGTAAATTCTCGAAAACGCAAAGCTCTCAGCAATTAAAATTTCTACTTAAAAACATTTTAGCTTTTTAAATTTTTATTTAGGCAAGAAAATTAGGCAATACTTTTACGGAAAAAATAAATATTGTTAAATATATATTTTGTTGCATATAAAATTCGTTTCAGTGCATTTTACATAATATATTTTTTGATTGCAAATAATATAATTTTACATCGTCATACGTTTCATGCATTCAGAATTACCCATATGCAATTTCTAAATTGGAGCGTGCAAGGATGCATTTTAAGTAATTAGGACACAGAACTGTTTACGTCGAAGGAGGGCAAGAATTTGATGTGTTATGTTCTCAATTGCAACACGTTAAAGGAGAAACTAGAATTCTATCGCGTCGAAATTAATTTGCAGCGGAGCTATTTCTTCTCTCCGGGTCTACATATTCGTGAAATAATGAAAAGTGTTTAGGACATTAATGTGCAGTAGTAAGACAGTTGCACATAAACGAGATACGCATAAATGTGTTTTGTCGGATGCCTATTGAATGCGACTTCCATTGAATAAAGGTATTCAATCGATTCAAAGATGCCAGTATATTGGCGGTTTCGAGCATGGTCATTTACCGAGGCAAGAATTTATGGTAAAAGAATAATTTCTGCGCTCTTTTTTCTCGCGAAAAGACTTCCCTTTAGCTACTTGCGCGCGAATTCATAAAATAGAAAAAGATTTACACGCGATAAAGACGTTTTATACTTTGCGATTTACTCGTTTTTTGATATCCTATTGAAAAATATATGACGAGGGATTTTGCATGACGCTCGTTTCTGTTACTTATTCTCCCTATATTTATCTTTCCATTTATTTTTCTCTATATATGCATATTTATTTCGTTATGGAAATAGAAACGGGAAAGATAGTATCACTTGATGCGATCTATTGCTTATTATAACATTCACCTTCGTACAAACATTCAGTATATAATTAAAAGGAATTAATACTAATGAATTAATTTGATTTTGCAACGTAATTTCTCATGGAAAATGCTTTAATATTAATGAGACTTGAGTATCGCGCGAAAGTCGAGTTACGAGCATTTGCGCTCGTCAAGTTTCATTAATTTTTCTCGATCTGTATTGAATTAATTTTTAATTATCCACATCTTCTACAACTTGATTATCGCCCTTTCATCAATTTCCGACCTTAAGTTTCACAATAATAAAATGTGGTTAACGACTGTCCCATAACAGCGCTCTCATAAACTGCAATTACGGAATCGATTAATAATTTCGTTTAGGTGTAAAATGAATTTAAACGTATATATTATACCTTGAAGAGGATTATCGCTTCTAGAGAATCCCATGTAAAATCAAATATCGCTCTCATATATATGTATATATGAAAAGATGAGATCAACATGTTGAGCTAATTTATAATAAAATTTATAATAAAAAACTAAGCTAATTTTTAACAGATATTATTTATTTTAATTATTGTAAATATACAATCTATTTGATTTAATATGTGTAATATGAATACATGAGCATACATAAATCGTTCATAACATAATAATATTATATAAGTACTGATATAAATTATAGTCTAGATCCAACTTGGCTTAACCTTTACAGGAATCTATTACTAGTCAATTTAATACTAAGCAATAAACAAAACAAATTAAGGTCAAGTATTAAAACAGACACACTTAGATATAATATTTTTTTAAACAATAATAAATGGAATATGATTTAAAATTACGGATTTCACAAATATCTCATATTATTATTTTACAAAAAAAAAAATTACATAGAAAAGTTAAACGCACTGCAATTATGTAAGTTTACAAAATAAATAAACGGTAAATTGATGTCTATATTCTAGTTAACGAGAACGGGTAGAATCAAATCCGTTAAAATGTGAGAGAGAAATTTCCAGTCAGAAACAGAATGAATGTACATCATGTCCAGAATTAAAAAATTAGAATTAAGTATTATAGCTCAGCAACATATGAGAATGAAAAATAAGATATCAAACGCATATATAAAAATTGTTCTGTACGACATGGCGGTTAGACTAGATCTAACTCACACCGGTGACAATAGACAAATGATCTTGTTTCTGACTGGGAATTTTTCTCTCACATTTTAACTGATTTGATTCTACCCGTTCTCGATATTAACCGAAGATTAAACAAGATTTAATTTGTGAAATAATGTTTTTGTCTACCAACAGGGGTGAGTACAAAAGAATTTTCTTTAGTAATTTTTTATGGACAATATTTAATAGATTAATACAATAATTTGATTCTAATAGATTTTTTGTGTTAACGGTTTTTTCACAGACATATTTCCGACATTTTGAAATAATACACAGTTCCACATATCAACGATGTATTCACTTCTATTTGGTGCACAAGAACATACTGTCAGTTAACAATAATTGTTTCTACAATTTGCATTCTACTCGGAGTATATGAAGTATCGTTTATTATAGCGTTGTCGCTGAAGATGGTCTAAATCACAGACCAAAACGTTCGACTGGTATTCTACATGTTAATTGTAAGATTAAAATAATTTTCCCACTGTTAATTTATGATTGTTTATTTGTGTTAATCGAAGAATCGATTCTGGAATATAGACATTAATTTACCGTTTATGTTTATTCTGTAGAATTACATCATTGCAGTGTGTTTAATTTTTCTGTATAATTTTTCTTTTGTAAAATAATAGTAAGATGAGATCTTTGTAAAATCCGTAATTTTAAATTGTATTCCATTTAATATCATGCGCTTAGTCTATTTTTTATACATATATAAATTTTAAGTTGTTTCACGTCTGAAGAAGGCTAAGTCAAGCCAAAATGTATCGTGAGGTGTTACATCTTGAATAATTAATAAAATCTATTATCAGCCATCTGAGTATGCTCGTTTTAATACTTGACCTTAATTTGTTTTGTTTATTACTTAGTATGTACACGAGCGGTAACTATAATAATTTATTGTACAATTTAAACTAGTTAAAATATTAAACAAACAGTAATAAATTACTTATTTTAAATATTATATATATATATATATATAAAAGCATTGTTGTTTTGGTACTTTTAGTACTTCACAAATAAGTAATTAACTACGCTCTGTCTTTTTCAGTAAATTGGCCAATATTAAATTAGTCAGTATCATATACAAATAATAATAATAAACCGAATGAGACAATGCCACAGCAGTCTAAGCTGGATCACGGGTGTTTCTAAATAATTGCGTGTGAATTTATATTCTTATATAATAATAATAAATCGTATACGTTTAAAAAAAATGCATATCATCTATTGAGAGAAAGAAATTTCGTACTATTAACTAAACAATTAATGCCATTTTCAGATCCTGCCATGTTATTCAAGAAACTCCAACACTAACGCTCCTAAAACCAAAAAGAGCCGCAGGGGCGAGAAGTTCTGTAATGGTAGTAATACCTTGCAAGAAACTCTGTTGGCCAGTAACACGAAAACGCAGAATCCCGAGATGCGAGAATCCGGATGCGAGATGATCATTCTGGAGCAGACGACGAACATCTCAAAGGAGTTGGATCAGCCTACATGTTCCTCAAAGGATTTCGACGAAGCGACTCTGTAAACGAAAGGTACGTAAATATATTTTGTTACCTAAAGCTGGTAGACATGTCAGACGCCGGGTAAATATCAACTATCATAATGGAGATGGCAAGTAGGAGAGCAACTCGATCATTCACTGTCGAGTTGGTGACATTTTAACAATTTGAATATCCGTTAAGTTCGTCCCTTACCAAATTTTCTTCCATTATCTTAACAGCCGCGTTGCAAGGTTCAAATTAAAAACTACTTTTCCTTTGCACAGCGATAATAAAAATTATTTTTTTATGAATGCTGTCTACGTGTCATGTCTAGTATATTAGAAAATAAGTATATAAATAATGTTTAGAAGTACAAATTTGCCTATCTTTGTTTTTTAAATATCAATAGACATTATTAAAATATATCTTTGATATAATTATTACATATGTAGGCTTTCAGTGATATTGCGTCCAAGGAACGGACAATTGTTTGGATAGAACACAGAGCTTTATTATATATGGTAAATCAGTAGATACAAAGAATCAAATCAGTATAAATCGTCAGTATAAAAACTGTATCTTTATGAATTGTCGAACGCAACATGCAACGATGAAAACGAGAGCTTCTAAATTTTTTTAACACATAAACTCTATAACTTCTTTACTTCTCTAGTTCTCTTTTTTTTTTATCATCGCAGCGCCGCGTAGGAATAACTTATAATAATTACTTATCGACTGTGGAAATTATCCCTAACAACATATTATATATATTATATAAAAAGTTTATAATAAAAAATTTAAGTGCAAAGTTTATAAAAAATAAAAGATTTTATTTTTGTAATGTCTTATGCGCGTTTATAAAAATTTAATAATATTGTACAATGTAATGAAATATTATTGTTTTTAGAAATATTGGTTATGTGATATTTCATTCGATACATTGCGGCTATTCATTCGACATACGTTGTTATAAATACTTTTTAAATTATTCAATATATTCATATTCGATATTTTTTCCATACTCACGGTATTTTTATTTGCATTTATTATATTTGTTAAATAACATAATAGTTAAAAGAATTATGATATTTTATTATTGTTAAAAGAATTATAAAAGTTATTGTAAAGAAGGTCTAATATATTAATATTGCATATTATAATTATGTACATTCACCGTATGATATGAAAAATTATTGTACTTTTTATGTCCAAAATATCAAGTAATCTGAATGGAAAGTTCAGCGCGAATGTTACCGACGCAGAAAGCGTTATATCATAGAGTCAAATACAAAATTGTAAGCAGCAAATTCATAACATGATATGATACCTTTAATTGCAGAGAGTCAAAAAAAAGTATATAAAATATTACCTATTAGTGATATTTAAAATAGTCATTTTACCTACTACTGATATTAAAAATAGTTATTTTATAAATAATTAAATATTTAATTGATTAAATGTTAAATTTATAGATACTTTTTCTATTTGATATTTCGCAGCAAAAATAAAAACGGGCGATAATATCAATAAATATCTCTAGCAAAAGTCATCGATGACTTAGGCCGGTATTTATAGTCGGTTCTTATTTCAAGAATGTCTTAAGTAATGTCTTAAGATGCTAAAGCGGCCCTCTGATTGGTTCGTAACTCCTCAAGACTGAACTTAAGACGGTCCTTGAATATAAGAACTGACTATGAATACCGGCCTTAAAAACAAAACAACAAAAGGTCTAAAAACTGTTTACTTGTATAATTACAAATGATAATCTCAAAATAGAATTTGAAAAATTATTTACAATTTTTTTCATTACGTTTTTTTTCGTGCTACACATTGCAGCAAACTATACGTTTCTTGACTCGCTAAATCACGATACTTAATTTTGCATAAAAAGAAGCATGAATTGCCTCTCGTTCAGCGCAATGCGCCAGTTAAAGTGAAATTACAGCATAATAACGCTCGAGTTTCATTCGCAGGTTTTCAACCGAGAATCAGAAAAACATGTTCAAAACAGTTGAAAGGAAATGAGCGCATTATAAACTTATACATGGAGCAAATGTTACAGAGCATTTGCAACATGAGTTCTATCATTTTACATTTTATTTATTACTAATCTGTAAATATATGAAATATATATGGATACAGAAAATTAGAGATATCATATACATTTCTCATACACTTATATAACAGGTAAAATAATAAAACATATACTGTACGTTACAAAGAACAAAACAATGATTATTACGAACACACACAAGAATTTAAAATTATACATTTTAAACTCTAATTTTTAACCAATAATCATGTAAGAATTCCATAATAAAGCTTATAATAATAAAATCAATTTAGACTCCTTACAATTAAAAAACAAATGGGAGAGAATAAAGGACAATAGGAGTCGGACGCAGAAGACGTCGCGCAATTAAAAATACTACTAATATAAGTGACAAAAACCATTTATTCGAATAACGCTCTAAAAGAGCCTAAACTCTTATTGCTCTTTATTCTCTCCAATTTGTTTTCGAATTCCATAATAATTATTAAATTAACTTTAGAGATACAATTAATCATCCAATGAGTTAAAAAGGCAAGTGTTTTAAAATTTATTGGAAGCATTTATTTATATAAAAGAATATATATTTTGTATGTTTTTGATAACATAAAATCAGTAAGTTGTTTTTACATTAACTTGTTTAGTATAAAGAATTTTCGTAGAAATTTCGAAAAAAGGGAGAGAACTTTAGCACGTGAAGAAAATACCTTTTCATGCTGAAACGAAATGGGAAGTCAGTGAGACAGCGGAAATGTGCCTATAAGAAAAAGAACAGCAAGAGAAACAATGCGAAGTAAAATAAACCAGTAGAACCACTCTCGTACATCAGAAAAACTTTTACTATTCTCTTATGTAAACCACACACATACGTATGTTTGAATAATAGGAATGAATTAGCGAGAATTATCCCCTTGTATTTTTCATTTAGCAAAGTACAGAACGACCGAATATCTTACATGCGTAAACTTAACATTATCTTCTATAGCATTTGCGAAAATGTCCACTTGAGAAAGATATAAAATATATGGCACGTTATTTCAATAAGTTATATAATATAACTTGAATCACTTAAAATTTAATCTAATAAGAGATTAATTACATTCACACTATATTATATTTTTAATTTTTAATGTATTAATCCATTACCTAATATATTTATGTTTTTTCATCCTATCTATTTTTTTTATATTTGCTATCACTCTTGTGAAGTATAAATTGTTTCGCTTTTCTCTGTTATTTTTAGCTCTGTCCGAGTTCGATTAACCACATACACACTGTTTGTCAAATTAATTTTTTAACTGCATTCTGATTCAGTGGGCAATAGATAGAAATAACCGATAGGAATGGGGCACGAAAAACATCACGTTGATTTAAAATTTGTCAGGACAGTTTTCGTAGATTTTGTTCCATTGGCGAATGGGACGCTGCTTTTAAAAAACCGATCGATCAATCACGTCTGCTTCTCACGAAACACTAGTACTTGATTGTTCTTTTTTGCAAAAAAACTGAACGGAAATGAAAGAGCAAAATCAAACTAAGTGAATGCTTAAAGGAATCGTATCTATGAACAGCAAAAGTACAGAAATTCTAAAACGTCATTCTACTTTTTTTAAAAATAAGCACAAAGATTGTAAAATGTTAAACTGCAACATAAACATCGTCACATTCTGTTTACATAGAATTTGCGGAATTCTTATACATATAGAAAATTTATATTTATATTCTTGAAATTATACTGAAATAATTTGAGTTCGACACGCAATATTCTCTATATATTTTATTATTTAATATTGTTTGAACAAGAAATATAATATAAAATTATTATATTATAATATAATAGTGGTAGTAGAAAGATCAACATATAAACAAATGATTAGGTAAAAATTTAAAATTATTATTGAACATCAAATAAATACAAAATTTTTAATTAATATCTTTCAATAAAGTACGAAGTATAAAACGTTTCTATTTTACTTATTGTTAGCCATATCTTCAGCCACATATATTATAAAGGAGTAAAATTATTAATTATATACAGCAATTGGTTATTTTGTATGTACAATATTATTTGATATTAGAAATCAAATATATTTTATACAGATTGAGAATTCGAAATGTTAGGTTAAAATAATACTATTTTCCGTCGAACTACGAAACGTTTGCAAAACGTTACTGCGCAAAACATTTGCAAATGAAATGTCAGCTTGTATTATTGAAAATATCAAGGGTTACTTGTGTTGAGTTTAGCATTGGGTGAATAATTTGGATGCTCCGCTGCGATTACGGAATAAAAATGAAGCGCATAAGCCAACGGGAGAGAACACTGTGCCGTGTTCGAGACGCAATGAACTGTTTAATTTTAATTCAGATTGACGCATTCGGCATAATAACGTTGCGAAAATGATTAATACAGAATCATTATTATAACAACATGGTTTACGTTTGCATATAACGATGGATAGTATAGTAAGAGTTTATTCGCTAACAAGCACACAATTATTGTGTTATTGATTAAAATAACCTCAAAAAAGGAAAGTAAATTGAAAGACAGTTGTGAATGAAATTTAACGTTAATGAATAAACGAAAATAACATATATATCGATTTATTAATTAATATGAGTAACATCTCCTAAAACATTAATATAAAGAAGTACATAGCAAGAATTTAGGTAAAGAATTCTACCCTTGTAACTTTTGAAAACACGAGCAGATAAATAATGCAATATATACATATTGTACTGTTATTGTGAAAATTTGTTTTTTTCAACCACAGAACAGAATGGATGTCGAATTGCAAACAGGAATACTTCGATTTTCCTATTACGCGATGTAATCCGCAAGTAGCGTGTTTACGCTTACGTAATCATCGATTTTAGTCAAGGGATCTAATTAACGAGATTATGATGATTTCCATCATGGACGAAACCGCGTCGATACAACATTTGTTACATTGATTTGATAATTGATCGACGTTGACAGCTGGAACGAGCTGTATTTTAA